CAGCGGGGATCCTGACTGCAACAGGCTCACAGGCTCTGGTTCGGCCAGACTAAGGTTGGCTGTTCTTCGCCTACTTCAACGCTCCCGCTCTGGGCATACCTAGCTCCAATGCAAGTCCTCTGGTCGTTGGGGGGCTAGAACCTCTGGCAGGGCGGGCTGCTCCTCCGGATCATAGTCTATCGGTGGGCCCAGTGCCCTGGGCCAGTCCCCAGCCTCTTTAGGTCCACCTCCACCTTCCAGCTTGGGAGTGTGGGTCAGGCATCTGGCTCCTCAGGCAACTGGGGACTGACTCACCTCTTGGGCTGACCTTTCATAGCTCCTGACTTCTGGTCAAGTGATGTGCTGGGGCCGCCAGGGCTCTGGGATGGGCTCATGCCCCTCTGGGTCAGTGAGCGGCCACTCCGCCTCACTACAGACCTCCGTACAAACAGGAATAATATTTTTTTCTCTAATCGCATCCAAATGCTATATATCAAGGACCTTATTTAGCTATATCTTCAGCTGCCATCTGAAAATAATTCTTGATCTGGTATATTCAATGTTCTAAAATCTTGATTACACTCAATTAGGGAAGTAACCCCAGATGATCTGTCAGGGTGAATCCGAGGATTAATGTAAAAATGAGCGGCAGCTCAGTCTTAGAAAGATCATATCTAGATGCACTGTAAGAGTACGTCTAGACTACATGGCTCCGTCGACGGAGCCATGTAGATTTGTTGTTTTGGCAAAGGCAAATGAAGCCGCGATTTAAATGATCGCGGCTTCATTTACATTTACATGGCTGCGGCGCTGAGCCGACAAACAGCTGATCAGCTGGACGTTCCCCCTGTCGACATCAAAGCCCTGATCAGCTGTTTGTCGGCTCAGCGCGGCAGCCATGTAAATGTAAATGAAGCTGCAATCATTTAAATCCCGGCTTCATTTGCCTTTGCCTATGTGTCTAATCGACATGCCTCTGCCGACAGAGGCATGTAGTCTAGACACAGCCTAAGTGTCTGTAATACGCTGAAGGACTTATTACATTCATTAACTAAGAGCAATTTGTGGACTACAAATGCCAGACTTGAAGTACATGATTAGGTAATGTGTCTCAACACTGGTCTGCTTTTATTGCCAGACAATCTCACGACGGCCGTCACACCACTGCGGAACACATGGTGGTGCTGTCACATCACTGGGGAAGGAGGAGATGGCTCTATCACAGGAAGGACAAGGGCAACAGGTTATTTCTAGCAGCAGTAAGTGCTCCACCGCTCCTCCCAATCCTCCTGCTGTGGTTCTGGAGAATTGTTATGCTGCCCTGGCTATGAGAGGTGAGGAATCACCCCTCAGGGTGGAGGAAGAGAAGCCATGTACCTCTCGAGCTGGGAGGTCTGCAGCCAGCACACCCAGAGGAAACATAGGTTAATAGTGGTTGGACACTTCTGAGGGGGACAGAGTGCCATGAGGACACTATGATACTCTGCAAGGTCTGACTCTCAGCAGATCAGAAGGGACTCCAGGCCTGTGGGAATGTGGGTGAAGGAGTTTGGAGTGCAGATGGTATTCTTATCATACCCCTGCTCTCTCCCCTCGACAGCTATGTTGTTTTGAGTCAGTGTTCTTTGCTGGTCCAGCCAGGGAAAAAACCTTCTGATAACTCTCACCATGGTTAACAGAATACAGAATTGTTCTGGCTCTTCAGAAGAATGACACAGGGAGAGCAGAAGAGGATTCAGCTCACACAACCCTGCTCACACAACCCTGACCATGGTACCTGTCAAGCTCCTCCTAAACAGAGAAATTAGACTAGCTGTAGATTGATTTGGAGATATAAGCACAGTCCCTCCATTAGAAATGTTTTTCCCCTATCACGTTTTTCTCATTCCTCCTAAGAAATAAAAAAGACCTCTAGATGTGAAAGTCCAGTGCCTGAAGCGATTATACAACCTTTTATCCTCATCCTTTGCTATTGTTCTTTCCCCCTCTATATCTAATTTTAACAAGAAAAAGGCTCAGATATAGTAGTGACACGTTAATTACAATTGTAACATCTTGTGGTGCATCTCTTGTAGAAGTCTGTAGGAGTAACATACGGTACCATCATACATCAATCCTGAAATAAGTACCAGTGAAGAAGGAGCTCTCCTCCCTGACCTCTGCCTTCTGCTTCTTTTATACAACATTTTAGCTTTCAGCATCTTGTGTGATGACATTGTCTATTGCTCTGGGAATGAGATGGATTCCAAGGGAGCTATGACCTAATGTTTTAGTCTGAAGAGATAGACTGAAGAGATGGGTTATTATTCAGGCAAACTCTCTCTGATGACTGCAGTTATCTGATGACTATATTTAGAGAAATGAGACTAAAAAAGGAGGGATATACAGGGATCTGACATTTGCACTGAGATGCATTTGTATTTAGAAGCTGTAAGATTATTTAAAATCGTATAAACACATGAGCAAATAGCAACGAAAAAAGTAACAGCCATGTGACGCTTTCATTAATGTTAACTTGGCCCCATGTGATGAGAGTGCATATTAATTTCCATTGGCTGAGCTCAGGAGTAGGGCTACAGGCATATGACATTTTGTAAAAAAAACATTATTACAAAAGAGAGAGAGAGAGAGAGAAAGAGAGAGAGAGATGGGCAAGATCAGCACCGGAATGTACTAGCAGATGTGCATCCACTAACAGTTTTGGACAAACTATAATTGGTTTTACACAACAGCCAGAATTAATTGCACATATTGATACATGTTGCACATCACTCTCCTTGGTGTATTAGAGAGACAAGCTGGGTGAGGTCATATCTTTTATTGGGCTTACTTCTGATGGCGAAAGAGACAAGCTTTTTATTATGCTCTGTAGCATGTAAGTTTTTATTATGCTCTGTAGCATGTAAGTTTTTAAGAGGCTGCATTAGTGAGCAGAGGCAAATGAGAGAAGGGCCTGGGCAGGCCTGAAGATGAATCTCTGCTCTGTAGGTCCTATCCCCATGGTAGAGAGATGCATGGATGCTTCACCAGCCATGTGAGGCAGCTTCCCAACTGTTCTCCAGCCTGAAGAGAATTTCTCTGTCCCAGTCCCCTCTGCCTAACACCCAGTCTACTTGAGCTGAATTGAAGATTTGTCCTTTAATTTGCAATTTGATTTATGAACAGTAAAACTGTTATAAAAAGTGGATTAGAGGACGTTCCACTAATCTTCTGTCCCTGCTCCACATGGAGAGAGGGAGTCAAACATTGTTGAATGGTACCTGCTATTGCCAGCTTTAACCTGTTAACCAATCCCTTGTCTGTATTTTGCCACCCATGAAAGTTATAAAACCAGACAATGAGGAAAAACTTCAGCTTTTCAAGAAGTTTCCAATTGAGTTTTTCAAAAGTGAAAATTGATGTTTTTTTCATTTTCAAAGAAAGGGAAGAAGTTCTCTTCCGAAGAAGCACTTCTCTTTACATAGATCATTCCTAAAAGAAGGTGTCTTCATACCTGGAATAAAGTTAGCTTAACAAGTTTTGTTCTAGTTGATACACTAACCACTGAGCTCCAAGTTCTATTTGCCATATACAGGAGTCTTGTTAAAATTGTTAGAACAGAATCTGAGGGAAGAATTAGTCCATGCATGCTATTAACATTAATTTGGGCAGGGTTTTTTATTCCTTGACTAGCACCTATAATGAACCCCTACCTGAAGTCATAGAATCATTGTGTTGGAAGAGACCTCAGGAGGTCATCAAGTCAATTCCCAGCTAAAAGCAAGACCAACCCTAACTAAACCATCCCAGCGAGGGCTTTGTCAAACTGGGATGTAAAACCCCCTAGGGATGGAGACGCCAACACGTTCCTAGGTAACCCATTCCAGTGCTTCACCATCCTCCTAGTGAAATAGTTTTTTTTTCTAATATCCAACTTAGATCTTTCCCAGTGCAACTAGAGCCCATTGCTCCTTGTTCTATCATCTGTCACCACTGAAAACAGCCTCTCCATGCTCTTTGAAATCCCCCTTCAAGTTTTGATGAGTGCTATCAAATCTCTCCTCATTCTTCTCTTCTGTAGACTAAATAAGCTCAAATCCCTCAGCTGCTCCTAGTAAGTCAAGTGTTCCAGCCCCCTAATAATTTGTGTTGCTTTCCACTTCACCTTCTCCTGTGCAGCCACCCAAATATGACATTAGCCTTCTTGGTTACAAGGGCACACTGTTGACTCATATCCAGCTTTCCAGACACTGTAATCCCCAGGTCGTTTTCTGAAGAACTGCAGCTTAGCCATTCGGGTCTCATCTTGGGATTCTTCCATTCCAAATGCAGGACTCTGCAATTGTTCTTGTTGAACCTCATCAGATTTCTTTTGGCCCAGTCCTCCGATTTGTCTAGGTCACTCTGGTCCCTTATCCCTACCCTCCAACATATCTACCTCTCCCCTTAGCTTAGTGTCATCAGCGAATTTGATGAGGGTGCAATCTATCCCCACATGCAAGTCATTAATAAAGATGTTGAACAAAACTGGCCATTTGATCACTACCTGTTGAGCCCAACGAGGTAGCCAGCTTTCTATCCACCGCCTTTCCCATATCCTCGGAACCAGTTACCTCATGATAGAAGACTATCAGGTTGGTCAGCCATGACTTGCCTTTGGTGAGTCCATGTTGACTATTCCTGTTCACTTTCCCCTCTTTCAAGTGCTTCAAAATAGATTTCTTGAGGATCCCCTCCATGATTTTTTAATGGACTGAGGTGAGGCTGACTGGTCTGTTGTTCCCCAGCTTCTCCTTCTCTTTTTTTAAAGATGGGCACTAAATTACCTTTTTTCTAATCATCCAGGACCTCCCCCGATCACCACAAGTTTTCAAAGATAATGGCCAATAGCTCTGCAATCACATCAGCCAACTTTCTCACTATCCTCAGATCTATTAAATCTGGCCTTATGGACTTGTGCATGCCCAGCTTTTCTAAATAGTTCTTAACCTGTTCTTTCTCCACTGAGGGGTGCCCACCTCCTTCCCATAATGTGCTGAAAACTGACTTTGTCTGTGAAGATGGAGGGAAAAAAAGCATTGAGTACTTCAGCTTGTCCCACGTTATCTGTCACTAGGTACCCTCCCTCATTCAGTCACACAGGGAAACTATAATACACATATACAGAAATCAAAGACCTAAATGACTAGTTAACAGAGTTGGGGTGGGGCGGGGAAGGATACCTGTTCTTACTATGTATAATCAAGTTTCAGGCATACTTAGTTATAACCCTTTAAATAATGGGATTCAAAACAGAAGAGAACATTATTATGTACAACTCACCCAAATTCTCACAGTTTTTAGTATTTGCCTTCTACGTAAAATCACTTAAAACATGGGCTAAAGTTGTTTCATAGCTTTACTCTCTCAGTAATGTGCAACAAGAACATAATAGTGTTATTAAGAAGTCAAAAATAACTTAACACAGTAACTATATACGATTTTCAGATGGTCAACCTTTCAACATTTAACTGAGTTCAGAAAATGAGCACATTTGTTAATAAAATTAATTTAAAAAATAGCTTTTCAAAATAAAAGCAATCCTTCAAATAAATATAGTCTTTTATATCCAGAGAACACTGAATTTTTGCTAGAGATAACGCAAATAACTACACTTAAGCACAGTAATGAAAAGACCGAAATGAACACCATGAGAATATATGAGCGGAATCTTATTAAGGATGACAGGATGAGGATTCGCTGGTTGTCCATCTCCTCTGCCTACCTTAAATGACAGCACAACACAGTTAATTCTCAACACTACCATAAGAATTTCTTGCGTAATGACATTTATAATGGCTGCACAAGAATGCTGGCACCCTGTTTTTTTCAGCCATTTCTCTATACTGTATATTTAGCAATTCCGCAGTCTGACTTCAAGTCTCTAGCACAGCATGTTTCTTAAAACTACAGTCAAATCCTGCTTACCTTGTGCAACTGCCCTAAATGGGATCACTGGTATGAATAAGGCAAGAAGAAATTGACCCATTCTCTAAATTTCATATAAGGCTCACAATTTATGAAGTCTATAATCTTCATTCAAATATTGACATTAATAAATATTTCAGAATTACTGAAGATCACTGTCATTTTATTTTATCCTGGATGAATACTCACTATTCTCACTTCATAAGATGGTAGAAGTGGTGTTTATTATTACAGAAATTAAATGAATTTCTGCAAAGATCATAATTGTTCTGTAGAGCAAAAATGTAGTACTGACTTTCTTGAATGAAAGAAGTTAACAATTTCTTACATTACTATGTACTATCTGAATGTATATGTAGAGTGACTAACTAAAATCCAATGAAATGTCCATCTGAAATCTAATAAGGATCTATCTAGAAATTCTGTTCAATATTTCATTTACTTATTTTTAATTGATCATTAAAATGATGTTGAGGATTTATAGCAATCCATTAATTTCACCCTTGCAACAAATGAGTATTTGTTAGTGAAATCTATTTTGTTTAATTTAAACAGAATATATTAAAAGTTGTAAATTAAATGACAAAGGCAGGAAAGTCAAATGGAGCACAAATCTGATACAATAAGTATTCTATTTGTTTTGATCAGAATTAACATGTCTGTTCAAAGAGGACAAAAGAATAAATTAGTAAATGGATAAAGCAACTCTTAAATGGGCTATTCTGGATTCCATACACACATTCTCTCTCTCTCTCTCTCTTTCATACTCTCCACCCATTCCTTGAATTTATTAGAAATTTCACTATTAAAGATTTTAACTTAGATAAATTAACTGCATTAAAATACTGACATTGTGAGGGTTTTAATACTTCCAACGCCCGGCGAGAAGGCATTCCCATGTGAATTTTGAAATGCTTTAAAAATATAGCTATTGAAATATATGATAGATATGACAACTCTGCTTTCTCTCACAGTCTGCCATTCTCATCCCCAGTATCCTTCTCCTGTATTGCCTCCAGACATCGTTTTGACTTTGCATCAGTGTTTCCACTTCCAGTTTTGCTCAGTCCACATGACAAGCAGGCCAGCTGGATCTGCTTCATATTCTCTATGGCTTCATTCTTGGCATTCTTCAACAGGTCTCCTTGGCCCTAGGAGTATATACAAACACATTAAGAAGAAAAAAAAAGCACAAATAATATAGAGAGTTAAGAACTTAAAGTGAAGCTGCTGTTCTAATGTCCTTGTTAAAATTATTTTTTATGATGGATCGCAGTTTAAATTCATCCAGCTCTGCTTCGATCCCCCTGTGGGGCCTACTATTAATTTCAGCACAGACAGAAGGGAATGAAATAATCTGGCAGCTTTTTAAATGCACCGTACCTTTAGCCAACAAATAAGGCAGCTGGGCTGGGCCAGCAGATTCAAATCTTATAAACTATGAATTAGAGAGACAGGGTGGGTGAAGTAACATGACACTACCTTCTGTTGGGGAGAGAGACTAGCTGTTGAGCTTACACAGAGCTCTTGCTTCAGGTCTGGCAACAGAGGGTGGTCCCATGAAAGGTATTACATCAGTCATCTTGTCTCCCTAATTTCATGGGTTCAACATGGCTACAACAACAATAAAAAATATTTATTGTCAGCAGCGGGATTTTACGGTCACTTATGCCTTTTTCGAACTAGTACACTGTTCTGTGGACAATGTTCCTAACTGGCTGAAGGGTCAATGTATTTAGGTGAACCCTTGGGGAGTGCAGAACCCAAGGGCCCCATCAAACCACAACACAGTTTGATAAACTGATCTCAAGGGAGCAGCAGCAAAGGAAAGAGCCTTGTCTTTATTAAGAAAAAAAATTAATTTGATTTAACAACAACTAGCTAGGAGTTCTTTCACATAGACGGCAAATCAATACATTTTAGTAGTCCTGCCTGTTTACACCCAGGCCAGTGAGAACTTAATTGAATCAACAGAAGGTTGTTCTCTTCAGTTTTGTCACCAATATATGTACTGCAACAGTGATTCTGCAAAACCAGGTCAACCACACTGGCCCTGCAAGTGACTCCACTACTCCAGCCTTTGAAACGTTAGATCTTAAATTAAAAAGTTTAATCATCTCAAATCGTATGGGTGGGATAAACTGGAAAAAGGATTTCATTAGAATTTTAGTACTAATGAAATCCTTCCCACATAGCCCATTAATACTCCTTAGTCATGGCTGGCTAATCCAGTTCTAAGCCTCTCATCAACAAAGGTGTATTGACGAGATTTGCAAAACACATTTCTGTGCACCATGCTGGATATAGTTAACCCGTTTCATGTCTCACTTTCCGGCAGACTACCAGGAACCCAGGATTTGATGCACAAAAAGCTTCTTTTATCCATTTCAAAACACTTTAAAAGTGAAGTCAGATTTTAAACTTCAGAGAAAATGCCAATCTTCAAACAATCAATTGTGTATCTCATTGTTAGTCACAGACACAATTATGAACAATTAAAATTTTTGAAGATTACACAGAAAAATAACAAAAAGAGGCCACTGAGAAATGATAATTAGAGAAGTTACTACAACGTAAATTAAGTTTACTCTTTGATCTATACGACATCATCTGAACATGTAAACTGTGATTTTAAATAAAAATATGAAGCATTATTTTTTTAAAAAACAACAATCTTGCTACCAGAATTACACCTTTTGACTGCTTAGTGAACATAACGTGGTCTTCCCTATGAACATTAAAAACTAGTCATCTACCAGGAAGAACACCTGTGCATCTATATTTCTTTTTTAGTTTTCTTACTACAAATGCATAATGTTGATGCCTATAACATTTGGAAACCATTTAACCCCATCTGAAAGTTTATAAATACAAAATCACAACTTGATAGAGAACAAGGAGAAATACAATTTAAAAAAAAATGATGTTTCAGTAAATAGTGGGAGCATTGAAAGATTCAGTGTTGCTATTTCCGGACACTTCCGTTATCCCAAAATAGTGCTACAGTCTAGATGTACCCTCAGTGTCACACAGTGTAGAACACACACACTTATAATATCCTTGTTTCCTTCAAAATCTGTCCAAAAGGGAGTGGAAAGTTCCAAACATTCTGAAATTAATATTGATATTTTAAATTTTGTGAAGTGACAAGAATGTGAAACTGGCGCTGCAAAAATAAATAAATAAATAAATAAATGCAGGAGATTCTGCTAGATATTAAAATGAAGTGCTGTCACAAGCTTGAGTCGATCTCTTTAATGTCAACATCAAACCAAGTGCAGCTTTAGATACATCATTCCATAGAGCTGTTTATATTTGCATTCAAAGTGAAAAGATTTCCACTTGCTTTTCTTGTAAAACCATTTTATTAGTTACAGTTTCCAAAAATCATTAAGCAGTTATGCCAAATTATAAATGGAAGTTCCTTTAAAATATAAGTGAACACTGAAAGTGGTAGGATAACATTTATGAGCATGCCCTAGATTGGGACATAATGGTGCTTCAAGCTTCCAATTTTCTAAGTCATCACCCACATAAAGGGCCATATTTTCCACTGTAATTCTGGCATCCTGAAACAAGTGACATTCTGCAGCTCCTCCAGATAGAGGTCTGGATGATTTCTCTGGGGTGAGGGTTAAAGATTGTGGTCCAGGGTCACACTGAAGTTGAGAGGTTTTTGCCATTGATTTCAATGGGATCAGGATGTCACCTCATGAGTTTCAGTGTTCATGCACCTTGAACCAGATCCATCCAGTCATATACAGATTTTCAAATGCAGATTATTACTATTAGGAGTAATTGGCATGGGGAGTAGTCTGGGTCACATGGGAATCAGAATACACGGATGCTGCATTTTGTGCATTACTGTGTGCCCATGACAAGCTAGTTATGCCATTTTGTAAGCCAAGAATTTAGTCCATTGTACATTAGATAATGAACAGCAGGAACAAGAATTGGATGACAAGTTTAAAAGCTGAACAAACTCACCAGGGAATCCTGCCCAGTAAAAAGGAAGCTATACATTTATAAGTGAGCCCTAAACAACGTGCTTTTTCAGCTCCACAGCTCCAATACCATGCACATAACACAGACACTAGGGGCAGGAGATATTCTAATGAAGATTTAGGGGCACATTTTTAAAGGTGGTTAGAGAACAAATATGCAGATAGGGTTCTACTGGGCTTTTCAAAAGCTCCTAACTCTCTTTGAAATAAGTAGGATTTAGATTTCTAGGCACCTTTGAAAACCTCACTAGTGGACTAGCTGCACCTAAAGTGCCTAAACACCTTTTTAAAATCTGTCCCTAACAGACTCTACATACCATCCCTACACCTACGCAAGCCAATATTTGTATGCCATCTGTATTTTGTGAGTTCTTACAGGACAAATCATATGTAAAATGGCAGTAAACCCTGACCAGAGCCCTTCATATGTTCAAAGGGTGAAGACCCCAGCACCTCTGTTTGGTATTCAAAAGCACTAGCTAAATATGGGTGACCAACAGGCTGCCAGGCGAGTGAGATATCACAATACTGCAAAGTACTCCACAGCTAACGTTGCTCTGCCTGTCCCCTTCTGCAGCACTGTAACAGGCAGGATTTAGCCCACAGTGGTCACCAGAGCTATCTTTCCTTTCAATGCAGCATGGTACATAACTTTGCACACTGTATTGTTTCAACCCTCGTAAACAAAAGCAAATAAACAATGGTAGCTGGCAGGGTTCAGCGCTGGTAAACAACATTTGGGAAACAATGGCAATTGGAAATGTCATTTTAGGCTAGTGCACGAGGGATTGATTGTCTCATTTCCTGATGACATGGACTTGTCCTGCTTGACAATGCAGGTCACTAAACAGATGTTAAGAATCAGATTTAATAAAAACCCCACAAAATATAGGGACTAAGGAGCTGTGTACTGTGCCTTACGAGGCACTGAGCTACAGAGTAAGAAAGCTCAATCCGACAGTTCTGGGAATATACTGCTGGATAAATTTACAAGATGGGAAGCTGGTGAGCAGCTAAGGTTTAAAGAAGTCAGCAAATAAAGTCTGCACCACAAACGTTTCCAAGAAGTGTGATCACACTTGTATAGGATGAAGACTGATCTTGTGATTAAAGGCACTAGGATTGGGATTCTAGATATCAGGGTTAAGTCCATGACCATGACCCAGACACTCTGCAGAACTGGGGAAAAGTTACTTCATCTGCCTGTGCCTTAGTTACCCCGGCTATGTGTGGGGCTAAAGTCAGTATTATTAACCGAGCAGAAGGTAAATGCAGTGACTAAACCACATACTGGTAAGTGCCTAAAGAGAAAGAACAGTGGCATCAACTGAGACACAATTTACCGATTTCTGGGTACCTAATAACTATACTAAGGTTCATGTCAGAACATGAACCTAATCTGAGTTTGTTCAGAGTAGCATGAAACATCTGGATACTGTAATTGTTCATGCTACAATGCAGCCCATCTAATGTCTGATACTTGGCTTTATCAGTAATCTGTTACCAATTCGGCCATAATGGTGTCAGTCTGCCTCATCTCACTGCTACATGCCAACACTACAGTTCCCCATGTAACCCTTTTAAATATGTATTGGTGCTTCAACCTTAGCATTTTTATGGTATTTGCATTTGACTATTACAATTTGCCAGTAAGCCCAACCTCAGTTTTAAACAGTGTTTTGAAGGTTATGATTTGATTTATATCTAACGTAATTATGTGGGTATGCACACATACAAAAATATAAACTTGTGTCCAAAATTAATTTAGAGATTTGATTTTTACCACCTTTAAGCTATACTTTTATTTAACATCTGACCTGAGGCTGCTTTTTTTTGAGAGAGAGAGCGAGAGAGAGAGAGAGAGAGAGAGAGAGAGAGAGAGAAAAGGGGGGCATCCCAAACTGCTAATTGTTTAGGACCATGTTTTTTTTTTTTTTAATAAAATAATTTCCACTCAGTAAGTGAAGTATGTGCTGTTGGCAGCCATCGATGGCAGTAAGAGTTTTGCCACTGACTTGAGTGAGTTCAGGTCCTGTGTCCATGGAAGACTCATAAGCAAATATCCCTAACACAGCAAGTTTTCCATAATGCTTTTCAACATATGAAAAGCCTTTCCTTCACCAGGATTATACTTTAAACTTGCAAAA